CCCCAAAACCCCAAAACCCCAAAACCCCAAAACCCCTTCGAGACTTGGAGGGGTAGAATAAAATCTATTTTATTTTGTTATGACTTTTTGGACTTTGATTGGAAATGTGGAATTTACTATCTGTAAATCTGAAAGCACTGTGCTGATCAGGATGGTATGATCTTAATCCTACCGTCCATTCTATGAAGTGAGAGGATTGCCTTACCGTTAGACTTTTTGCTATAACCTTGCCCGAAGAAAGGGAGAGAGGAGTTGGCATTTGCTTGTCTGTTATTTATCATCTTTCTTAATTTTATGATAATATTTCTTGGATTTGAGGAATTATGCTCTTTGCTTTTAGAATTCTTAGTTGAATTTAAATGAATCTTTTGAAATGCATTCTTCCACTGTGATTTGTGAGAGATATTTGTTTTTCATCTGTAATCTCTCAAATTACACTCGAAGTTGAGTTGAATCTTATTTGGGCTTCCTCTAGCTCCATGCTTGACCAAATGAGATGAAGAGTTCAGACCTATCGAAAATTATTTACAAACGAATACCTTTAGTCTCAAAATCGAGAATATTAAAATTATTTGTGCTGAATCTACTTTTTCTTCTCTTCTGAATAAGTTGCATAATTTTATCTCCTGGTCCGACTTCGAGACCAACCTTAGCGTCTTTAAGATACTTTTGCTTGAAGCTTTTCCTTTCTTTAACTGATTCTCTAAATTTATTGTCCCATTTCTGGAGATCTTCTTCATAAAAGCTTGGAGGATTTGGAACTGTGGATTCAAGAGGTTTGGACTTCTTTCTTGAAGCTTTTGCAGTATTACAACTTTGTGATCTATCTCTTAAAGTAGAAAGCCATGGCCCATCATATAGTGAGAATTTATCCTCCATAGTTTGAGGGCTGATATCTCTTTTGTACTGAACACTTCCTTCTGGATCGAAGTATTTTACCTTCATAGGTTTGTGCTTTGGTCTCTGTACAAGTCTACTAAGATGAAACTTTGTCTTCGGTCTGTTCTTGAAATCCTCAGATTTCTACATTGAGTGTGAGGAGAATAAAAATTTATCAAAGAAATTTCCAATAAATTAAAACTTACTCCAAATGCAGTAAAGATGAACGACTTCATGTTCCCAGGAAGTCGATCTCCTGAGGAATACTTTGCTGTTTTAAGTGTTCCACCGAGTTGTTTACTTCCCATGGCATTATACTCTGTTTCCATTTTATTTGACCAGATAAAAATTATAGAAAGCTCAAACTTTTATGTAATTTAAGGGGTTTTGGGGTTTTGGGGTTTTGGGGTTTTGGGGTTTTGGGGTTTTGGGG